TTCTACCCAGTATTTACTCCACAGCACAGCTGGACCTGGGCTGATGTGTCAGAAGCAGTTTCAGAGAAAGGGGCCCCAGATGCTTCGGGATAAATCAGTCCCCATTGACAGCCCCGGAAGCTGGTTAAGTGACGACAGACGCCCGAGAACCCGTAATTAACGCTGCCTATAAGTAGGCCACACGCTCAGCTTTTCCTGAGCGCTGTCTGTCCCTTGTGAGGGTTTTCTGGAGAGCTGACACAGAAGAAAACTCAGGCACGCAGCTGCCAGTTCTATCTCCCTTAGATTCTCCACGCCCACAACACAGTCATTTGAGGTGATTCCCCAGGGGAATGGGGCCTGCGCCTTTTCTGCCAGTGCCAAAAGCCCTTGCATCTGGGCTCTGCGCAGAGGCTGAGAGTCTGGAAGCGTCCCTTTCAGTGGCTCTCTGGGGATGGAAGTGATGCTTCGAAGGATGGCAAGGGAAGAAAGGCATCAGGCTGAAAATACAAGTGACTTTTCCATCTGTGCCTTAGGAGAAGCTGTTACTACATGTCACACCACTTTCTCCTGGAGAGACCTGCACAGAATGGGAAAACCACACACAGCCCTAGGACTCCTAGGTGGAAGGCTTCCGGCATCGGCCTTAAAGGCGGTGGCGGGGGCGCTGTTTCCTGAAGGAAAGCAAGCCACCAATCCATCAGACTGAGCCAGATCTTAAGCAGAGAGAGGGAGGAAGGGAGAGAGAAGTCTTCGGAGCCGACAGGCTGACAGTCTGTGAGGAAACGAACAACGCACATGACAAATAAATACACAAATGATGCCAGATGGTATAATGGCATGGGAGAAAGGTGGCCGGGGTGACAAGGGCAATATCACAGACAGAAGAAAGAGCCTGCAGGGACCTAGGCCTGGGGTGCGATTCCTTGCTTAGGTCCAGCAGGGAGCCCAGGGGGCTGCGGCAGGTGCAAGGCCCAAAGTGGTGTTCAGCCACCTTGTGAGCTGGGGCAAGGACAAAGGACAAAGGCAGTGGCTGGTCTCATGGGGAGGGACATGCTACCAAAGTGACCCTTTCTGTGGTGAAAAGACAAAATCCCATCAAGTCCGCACTGTAAAACGCACACACTTCACGGGCACTGCAGTGTGTGCCAACGGTGCCCTGTCCCATCAGCCTTAATGGGAGCACTGGCTCTGAAGGAAGCAAGCTGAGGTCTTCCACGAGCTCTGACTCACTCACTGTCCGTGTCCTCTCATGCCCACCAGATCCTTCTCCAGACCTGCTCTGCTCACAATCTTTTGGATCCTTCTTTTTGTTCCTTTTCCACTGTGCAACCCGCCTGCTGGCCTCTCCATTTTCCCTTTTCTCCCCACTCCCCCTGAGCACAGGTCCTCCCTTTGGGGCACCCACGACCTCCCTGCCTGCCTTGTGTAACCCAGGCTGCACTCACCCCACACCCTCCCATATACCCACCCACCACACACACACTGTACACACCCCTGTGCGCACACACACAGCCTCTGTTAGCCCCTGGTCCGTCTGCTCATGGGACTGAGAATGTTTACAGGATAGGTGGTGCTATCCCCAAGCCACCTCCCCTCTCTTCTGCCCTCTGCAACTCACACTACTACCTGGTGTCACCTAACACGGTCGAGCATTCCTGGTGTGTAGACAGACCTGTGTTGTGCCAAACCACTGAACCATTCGTATCTGCTAGAGTCAAGTTCAGCTACAAATAACAAAAAGACCAAAAACAAAACAAAAAAACCCACCGGGGTTTAAACAAGCTAGGTTTTAATTCTCTTTGATTAAAAAAAGTCCAGAGGTGGGCGGGCCACCCTGGTGCAGGGCCCTGACTGAGCTGTAGGGTCCTGGGTACCTGCCTTCTGCTCTGCCATTCTCCGCATGTGCCTCACCTTCCCAAGGCCACCACACAGGGAGGGATGGCTAGGAGAGGGCCAGCTATCACGTCTCGACTCCAGGCAAGCACTTCCTCTTTTGCCACCTCAGTGTGCATGCTTCGGCTGTGGTTAAGGACGTAGGACCCCCTCAGTGTGACTTAGGAAGGCAATTGTAAACCACCCTCCCAAATTTAGGAAGCAAGAATTTGACGTGGATTTAGACTCAATTAAAGAGCTTCTCGGCGATGTCCCCCAACATGTGGCCTATCAGGTTCTCTCTCATTTTGGATTTCTGAACCTGAGACTTTTGGAATATTTCTGATCTCTGGAACAAAATGAAACATAAGACATCAAATGATGGCAAGGACATGGAGCAAAAGAAACTCTCATTGCTGGTGGGAATACAAAATTGTACAGCCACTTTGAAAGGCAGTCTGGTGGTTTCCTACAAAATTAAACATACTCTTACCATACGATCCAGCAATTGTGCTCCTTGGTATTTAACCAAAGGAGTTGAAAACTTATGCCCACATGAAAAGCTGCACATGAATATTTATAGCAACTTTATTCATAATTGTCAAAACTTGAGAGCAACCAAGATGTCCTTCAGTGGGTGATGGATAAACATACTGTGGTTCACCCAGACAATGGAATACTATCGATTAATAGAAAGAAATAAGCTATTGGGCCATGAAAAGACATGGAAAAAACTCCAGTCCATATCACTAAATGGAAGAAGCCTCTGAGAAGGCTATTTACTATAAGATTCCAATTGCATGGCAGCCTATAAAAGGCGAAGCCACAGAGACAGGAAAAGATGGGCAGTTGCAGGCATTGGGGTAGAAGGAGAATGGATGGAGAGGTGAAACTGTCCTGTCTGAGACTGGAGAGATGTCATCAAATCTTTATTAAAATCCATAGAATACACAACATAAAGAGTGAAACTTAATTTAAACAACGGACTTCAGTTAATAATGTTTCATTAATAGCCTGTCAAACTTAACGGAGACACCATACTAACTCGAGATGTCAC